CCTGGGAGGGGCGAGAAAGGGGGTTAGAAGCCCCTTTCGCCACCAAAGGCTGCCCTTTTCCTTCCCCTCTATCAGCCTCAGCAGAGGCTCCCCAGGAACTCTTGGACGCGCCTTCCAAGAAGGAGACAAGCGACGTTCAGCACCCTGGACAGCGCCCGGCTCGGAGAAGGCCACTGCGCAGGCGCAGCAGGGACGGCGCGGCTCTGGCCTGAGTTTCTCGAGGGGGGAGCTCCGTGCAAGGATGGGGCGCTTTGTTCGAGGGGACGGACAATGGGAACTTGATGGGCTGTCTGCAGGCTCTCCATAGGGTTCGAGTCTCATTGTGGAAATAAATAAATAAACATAGAAGAAGAGGAAGGAGGAGGAGGATAAGAAGAGGAAGGAAAGGAGAAAGGAGAGGAGGAAAAAGAGGAACTGGAAAGGGAAGAGGAAGGGGAAGAAGAAGGAGGAGGAGGAGGAAGAGGAAGAAGGGGAAGAATAGAAAGAGGAAGCAGAACAAGGGAAAGAAGAGGAAGAGGAGGAAAAAGAAGCAGAGAAGAAGAGGAGGAAGGAGGAGGAGGAGAAAAGGAAGAAGAGGAAGAGGAAAAGGAAGGGGAAAAACAAGGGAAAGAAGAGGAAAAAGAGGAAAAAGAAGGGGAGGAAGAAGAGGAGGAAGAGGAAGAAGAACAAGGGAAAGAAGAGGAAGAAGGGGAAGAAGAACAAGAGGAAGAAGAGGAAGAGAGGAAGAAGGAGGAAAAGAGGAAGGAAGAAGGAGGAGGAGAAGAGGAAAGAAGAGAGGAGAAGAAAGGGAAAGAAGAGGAAAAGAAGGGGAAGAAGAAGAAGAAGAAAAGGAAGAGGAAGAAGAGGAAAGGAAAGATGACCCTCCTGTTTCTCGCTCCTCAAGGAAGGAAAGAAAGAAGAAAAGAGGGGAGGGAGGAACGAGAGAAAGAAGGGAGAGAGAGGGAGACCCCTGGGTCTTTCTGTGGAGCGCCCTGCCTTCTTGCCTGCTTGCCTCCTTCCATCCCTTCTTTCTTTTCTTTTCTTTTCCTTTCCTTTCCTTTCCTTTCCTTTCCTTTCCTTTCCTTTCCTTTCCTTTCCTTTCCTTTCCTTCCTTTCCTTTCCTTTCCTTTTCTTTCTTTCCTTCCTTCCCTTCCTTCCCCTTCCCTTCCCTTCCATTCCCTTCCCTCCTTCCTTTCCTTCTTCCGTCCCAGGGGCCCGGGGGGGGGGGGGGTTGAGGCCAGGAAGGGGGCTCCTTCCGGTCCGCGCCGTCGGGGCTTGACGTGTTCCGCGCGGCGCCTCCTTCCCCCAAAGGAAGGCGGGAAGGAAGGAAGGAAGGAAGGAAGGCGGGCTCAGCCAACGCCAGAAGCAGCAGCAGCAGCCTCTGCCCGCGGAGGCAGGCGCGAGAGAGGGAAGGAAAGAAGGAAAGAAGGAAAGGGGGCAAGAAGGAAGGGAGGAAGGCGGGCGGGCGGGCGTCCGTCGGGGGCCCCCATGCGGCGCTGCTGCCGGGCGCGGGGCCGAAGGAGCAGCCTCCACCGCCGGAGCGGGACATGCGCTCGGGAGCCCCGGCCCTGGGCCGCCCCCGCCGCCGGACCCGCCGCCCCCTCCTCCCGCCTCCTTTTCCCGCCTCCTCCTCCTCCTCTTCGGCCGCAGGAGGTCGCCAAGAAGCGGCAGAGGGATGCGAGGAGCCGCCGACGCCGCCCTCTCCCTCCTCCCCCTCCTCCTCCCGCTCTTCTTCAGCGCCTGCCTCAGGTGAGTCTCTCCATTGCCTCCCGCTCTGGCGCCGGGGCGCTCTGCACGCGCTCAGAGGCACAGGGAGGGAGGGCGAACTGGGAAAGGCGAGGGGAGCTGCAGCTGGTAAGCAGCATCTCTTCCCCCATTCCTCTCCCAGAGAGTCCCAGAGGGGTCCCCAGAGACCCACCTTTCTTGGCTTTGGGGGCGAGGTCAGAGAGCCCAAGGCCCTCCCACCCAGGGGCCCAGTGTCTGGGGCGGCTTGGAAGCCCTTGCCATCAGGGGAAAGCCAAAAAGGAGTGGTGGGAGTTGAAGTCCAAAGCACCAGGAAGGAGGGCCCAAGTTTGCCCATGCTTCCTCTGCCTCCTTCCTTGAGGCCAGGGGTCAGGTCAACCTCAAACTGCCTCTGCCTGGCAATCAGCTTCATGTGAGCTCTCCAAGGTGCTGAACTCTCTGTCCCTCCGAAGGAGACTCAGCGCCTCTGAAGTGCTGAAAATGGGATGTATTTATTTATTTATTTTGTCTACATGCTGCAATGGTGGTGATGCAGGGCTTCTTCTGAATGTTAGGCGTAGGCAAGATCACCCAGAACCTCAGCAACTGGGGGGAGAGTGGGTGGGGGGGAGGTGGCTTTCCATCTTTGGTATGGGTTTCCTTCACTAAAAGGCTGAAATGCTGTCCCTCAACATACACTCAAGGCTGGCATAGAAAGTTGGAAACTTGTTGTTGTTCATTCGTTCAGTCATCTCCGACTCTTCGTGACCTCATGGACCAGCCCACGCCAGAGCTCCCTGTCGGCCGTCACCACCCCCAGCTCCTTCAAGTCACTTCAAGGATGCCATCCATCCATCTTGCCCTTGGTTGGCCTCTCTTCCTTTTACCTTCTACTTTTCAGCCCAGGCTTTCTCCCCTTGGAATTACTCTCTTCTCTATTTGAAAAAGGCTACCCCCTCCTCTTAGTCCCTTAGTGGGTTAAAGCACTGAGCTGCTGAGCTTGTTGATCGAAAGGTCGCAGGTTCGATTCCGGGAAGCGGCGTGAGCTTCCGCTGTCAACCCTAGCTTCTGCCAACCTAGCAGTTTGAAAACATGCAAATGTGAGTAGATCAATAGGTACCGCTCCGGCGGGAAGGTAACGGCGCTCCATGCAGTCATGCCGGCCACATGACCTTGGAAGTGTCTACAGACAATGCTGGCTCTTGAGAAAAATGGATATGAGCACCACCACCCAGAGGGACCGTAGCCAGGATTTCTATCATTGGTGGGGTCAGGCCCGTAGCCAGGATTTTGATTCGGGGGGGGGGCTGAGTCTGAGTGAAAGAGGGTCTAGCAAACCTTTTGTATCGTTACCCCAATACCCCCATGCATATGGGATATACTGAGTATGGTGATCAGATCATGATATGAATAAACATAGCAGTTTAAATAATGCACCAGTAAGGCCTTCTTGTGGACCACCATGAGAATTTCGGGGGGGGGTGAAGCCCCCCAACCCCCCCCCCCCCCCCCCCCCGCACCACACCCCAGAGTCAGACATACTGGACTTAATGTATGGTACATTCTTTCCTATTTACTCTCTCCTTCTCTCTCTCTCTCTCTCTCTCTCTCTCTCTCTCTCTCTATATATATATATATATATATATATATATATATATATAATTGAAGTAATGTTTCCCCTTGACATTAAGATGTATCATGTCTGACTCTGGAGGGGTAGTGCTCATCTCCATTTCTAAGCTGAAATTGCTGGAATTGTCCATAGATGCCTCCTAGGTCATGTGGCCGACATGACTGCATGGAGCGCCATTACCTACCCACCGGAGCTGTAACTATTGATCTACTCACATTTGCATGTCTTCGAACTACTAGGTTGACAGAAGGTGGGGCTAACAGCAGGAGCTCACCCCCACTCCCCAGATTCAAACCGCCAACCTTTCAGTCAGCAAGTTTAGCAGCTCAGCAGTTTAACCCACTGCACCACCAGGGGCCCCATATATCTATCTATGTATATAATAAAAGTCAGTGTTTGTATGCGGCAAGAGGGAGGGCGGTTTATGTATGTATGTGGCAGCTTTCCAATTGGCTGCCACTTTCACAAGCCACTGTGTCGTGCACGAGCGACAGACCTGGACCAAATTTGGCACACATAACCCCCATGGCCCGCTTTCCATCCTGGTGCGGTTTGGGGGAGATGGACCACGGATTATGGGATTTGTAGTACTTTAAAACGCTTGGGCAACCACAGACCACTGTGGCCCCCACCAAAGACAGATCAAGACCAAACTTGGCACACAGAGCCCCCATGACCTTTTTATGCTTATGAACACTTCTAGCTCCCAAACCTCCTATCCCGGCCTCCTCAGACACTTCTGCTAAATCCTTGAAGGCTGGCTCTGCCCTGCTAGCTCCCAAAGAGGACACCATCTTCCCTTTTCAACATTGGCCCAAAGAAGGCAGCTCTGGCCAGGATCTTTTGAAAAGGCATTGTCCTTTTACAAGATAAGGCCCTACCATGGCCAATTGTGAATACTGATGGAGTTTGGGGAAGGTTGACCCAAGATTTTTGGGAAATGTAGTTTATCCACATCCTTATGCATTTTCTAATGGAGCATTCATAAAAAACAAAAGCAAAGACTGAGTTTTTTTTTCCTAAGACATAGCATAACAAATGACAAAACATATATTGCCTAACATCCAAAAACAAACAATACCCTTTTCAAATAACCTGGGCACCACCGGGTCCCCAAGCTTACACACACACACACACACACACAGAGTTATGTAAGTAAATTATAACATTGTCACAGTCACCATTACCAAAAGGTTTTTCACATATTGTCATAACATTTTGATTATTCCTGTTTTCCTATCTTTTACATTGGAGCCCCCGATGGTGCAATGGGTTAAACCCTTGTGCTGGCAGGACTACTGACAGACAGGTCAGTGGTTCGAATCCAGGGAGAGCAGATAGAGCTCCTTCTTTCAGCTCCAGCTCCCCATGCGGGGACAGGAGAGAAGCCTCTCACAAGGTTGGTCAAACATCAAACATCCGGACACCCCCTGGGCAACATCCTTGCAGACATCCTTGCAGGCAGTTTCTCAAGTCACTCCTGACATGAAAAAATATATATTTTACATTTCTATACTTCTATCTGCTACTTGTACCTATCCAATTTTTCCTTAGCCTCGTCCTCACTCCCCCTCCCTCTGGGAACAGTTGCACTTCTGCTCTTTGTATTATTCTATTCATTAAATCATGAAGATTAGTCCCTTCCCTGCCCTCTTTGGCCTGAAACTGGAAGCCCAGGGCCAAAGAGTTGGTTTTTGAGAGCTCTGTCCTGATGGCCACTCTGTCCTGGTCCTGCGCAAAGGCAAGTCAATGCCAAGTGCCACCCTTGGAGTGGACTTCTGCCCTGGAGGGCCTTCACTGGACTAGGTGGAAGGTCCTCATCAAGAGTTGCCTTTCTCCTTCTGCAGAGTCTTGAGATCCCTTCCCTGTATCCCTTCCCCTCCCTCCTGTGCCCCCCCCCCCCTCGGCCTCCTTTCTGAAGACGCTGCATGGATTCCCCTGGGAGGGAGGGAGGCTCTGAAGATGTGCACGCAGCAGCAGCAGGGATCGCAGGGGACAAGAGAAGGAAGGGTTCTTTGCAGAGAGGGGGGTCCTTGCCTGGGCCCAGCAAGGATCCAGGGCTTGGGCAGGTCAGCCTCCAAGGGACAACCATTAGGATGGACCTAGAAAGGGAGAATTCTTTGTGCCCTCTCTCTCCCTTGAGGTCCACTCTTAGGAGCTTAGGGTTCCCAGGATCATATTGCTTTGCTCGTTGCTTTTGTTCAGACGCTAAGTAACCCAGAACATCATGACAAGGTCCCATTCCAGCACGGCCATTTTATCAAGCCTGACACCTACTAAATCATAGCAGTTTCTTCAACTGGGGGTCGGGGAGGTGGGGGGAGAAAGAAAAAGCCTGCACTCCTCTGTAAAGATCACAGGCTCCTCTGTAGAGATCACAGGCTCCTCTCTGCTTCTCCCCTGAAAGGCAATATATCATATATACTTGAGTATAAGCCGACCCGAATATAAGCCAAGGCACCTAATTTTAACCACAAAAAACTGGGAAAACATATTGATTCGAGTTTGAGCTGGAGATGGGAAATGCAGTAGACCTCACTACCTCTGAGGATGCTTGCCATAGATGCAGGTGAAACATCAGGAGAGAATGCCTCTAGAACATGGCCATATAGCCCTAAAAAACCTACAACAATCCAATGCAGTAGCTACTGGTAAATTTCAAAAATAAAAATAGATACCCATAAAATTACATTAATTGAGGCATCAGTAGGTTAAATGTTTTTGAACATTTCATAAAACTGTAATTTAAGATAAGACTCTGATTAAACCATTATTCTAACCTTCTTCAATGTAAATGTGCTGATGTATCCTTCTGATAATAATAAAGAGAGTAAAATAAAAAATGTAATGATAATTTTATTCGGTCTTCCCTAATTAAAATTTGGGAAAAATACAAAATGAAATTCTATTCAAAAAACCCTCTCTGGATATCCCCGCTCGAAGCGCACCAAAGAAGGGAATTGGGATGGGAGAAGTGGCCCCGCTACAAGGATATCCTAACGAAAAATAGAGGAGAATATAGAATCAAGACACTAGAAGAAATCAAACAAACCTACGGTGAGATTACCTGGTTCCAACATAGACAATTGGCGGAAGCCTTTAACAAAGACAAAAAAGTGGGCTTTGAGCCAAGAGAAAAAAACTGGGACAAAATAATGTGCACAGAAAGAAAAGGTATCACCAAACTCTATAAAATACTGCTGGAGTGGAAGACCGAGAAACACCAAAACAAAAATTGCCTCACAAAATGGTCAAGAAATATAGGGCGTATGATAAGAACAAAAGATTGGGAGGAGATTTGGAATAACAAATTGAAGTGGATAAATTCATACGACCTGCGAGAGAACTGGCTAAAGATGATGTACCGTTGGTACATAACACCCAGTAAACTAGC